CGGCCGCCGAGGCCCACGCAGGCCGGCCCATGGGAAGGCCCAGCAGCCGGGGGCGGCCCAGCAGCGACTGGCGGCCCAAGTCCCGCATCAGGCTCGCGCGTGTGTGAAGGGTTTCCCCTAGCGCCACGGTCGGCGCCGCGGCCGGGGCAGGGCGAGACGAGCGCGGCCGGAGGGGGCCCCGAGGGGAATCCGGCGAGCGAGGGGGAGGAGCGCTAAACGCGGAGATCCAGGGGCGGAAGGAGGAGCGGCGATATAGGACCGAAGACACCGGCGGCCAGGCGGAGGCCGAGCTTGCGGCCGGACCCGAGGTGGCGCTGGCGCGCCAAGACAGCCGGGCGGCACCCCAACCCTGCGGCCGGCGGCGGCGGCGGCGTCCCGACCCAAAGGCCGCCCCTTTGCTCCCCGGCGACTGAGACGGGGTCAGTGGCCGGTGCCGGCGCCGGGCAGATGGGCGGCCGGCCGAACTCCCACCCCCGGGAGTAAGGCCACCGGCGCCATCCGGCCGACGAGCACGGGCAGGAGCGGGAGGGGGGACGCGGTCGCGGCACACGATGGGGCGTCCAGCCTCGACGTCGGCGGCCTCCGCGAGGTCAGCCCACAGGACCCGCTCGGGGGCAGGGGGTGACGGGGAATGCGATGGGGAGGCGGGCGACGGGGCCGCGGCGGGGAGGGCGGGGGAGGGAGGCGTGGCGATGGAGGAGGGCGGGGCGGCGTGGCAGGGGGAGGCGCCAGCAGCGTCGCTAGGGCGCTCCATCCAACCCCCCCAGAAGGACGTTGGCCTTCCCGGCATAAGAACAAGTCACTCAGTATAGAACATAATGAAGCACCTTCCTTGCGCTACAGTTCATCCTATATGTTATACTGTGGTGATAGTTCTGAAATCTTTTGGAAAGATACGGAAATATGAAGCCGAGGCCAATTCAGAAGAGTTCAGAAGAAACCAAACGATATTCGACTTTCATATGTTGTTAGGATTGCATATTTTCTTGGCCATCTACTGATTAATTCAAAAATCTATTTGGCAAACGTTCTACCAAATCACCTTATCGTTCAACGTTTCCTCACCATCCAATCTTGTTTCAAATATCTTTAAAAGCATTCCTTTTGTCCTCTTCTCTTCCTCTCCAACCCTTTCCCCTTGCCACTCCGGACCACATGTTGCCCCGTCTCCATCGATGCCGATTACTCAAGCAAAAGTTGTATCGTCCTGAGATTGTTTATTAGTATTAATTATTAACGTTTCTTTAGATGCTAAATTAACCTGAAACAAGGGGAAAGGACACTCCGCATGCATTGATCCGATCCATGCCGAGTTGCATGTTCGTCCCACGTTAAGTACAGTTAATCAATCATCGATGCTAAAGCAACCTTGAAGAAGGGGAAAAGGAGCCCAAGTTGCATGCACAGTGTAATTAAGTTCAAAAGGCATTGAAATGTGCATCCATGCCTACAGACACCCAAAACCATTTGCCAACACAAGGTAGTACTAGTACTATTCTGCCCTGGTTTCAAGTTTCAACGAGTGTCATTTTTACGGCAGGCAAGGTTGTCTCAACGTTAACACCTCTAGATCTGGGCATGCATGAGCCGCCTGCTTAAGTTCATAATACTCCCAAGACTGTACTTTTCTATTAATATAAGCATAGTACTTTTTTTGAGGGGTAACATGTTTCTCTATTAAGATAGAGTGGGCTATCACTGCAAGAAAAAGCTAATAGGCTTCCGTGTAGTTGCTTGGTTATTTCTCGGTACCCTATTAACCTTTCTATATGTAAAGCTGGGACAAAAGCCTTTTCTCTAAGAATGAGAGTAGCTGCTTGGCTCTTTCCCAGTTCCAGATGCCAAAAGAGCTGTTGAGCGTTCGTACGTATTGGATCAGTGCTTTATTAACCAAGTTGTATCACTGTGATCTACAATGAAAACACGAAATATATACTATGTGAATAAGAGATAGGAAAGACAATGGCAATTATTGCTCCTATTTGGTTGAGTTTCTCTGGCTTAGTTTGTGTACACGCCAGCCAACATGGCAGCCAGCTTCCCGACGACGGGTTTCAGGGCCCCCGTCCCCGCACTTACCAGAGCCGCGTCCATTATTTCATCAATGTGGTAAGCTAGCTTAGAGCTTGCTAAGCTATGTTTTTGTGGATATGCTTGTAGCAGTGTAGGTGGATGGAACACTCCCCTCTTCAGGCTTATATTCTGGACTGGACAATCACATAAACCGCATAGTGGTTTTATTAACCCGAGATTGTTAATTAACCTCAGCTAGCCCCCAATGAGAAAGACAAGAACGTACGCATTGGTCCATGTCAGTCAAACTGCAGGCGCTCTTATTTAAGTTGATGAGATATGAAACCATTTGCCGGCAGGAAGTATACCCTCTCATTTACTAACCTATTTCTGTCTCAATGATTCCGCTTGAACTCCTCCAGATCTCCGTACGTTGCATTGCAAAATTAGTTTTGCCTTACCGAGTTGTACTACTAGTTTATTCAAGAATCGATATAGCCAGTCAGTAAAGTCCTCTTTCTTAATAATGCCATGATGGCCTTCCTGGTTGATCTTTAATGCAGTTCCGGTGACTTCTTTTATTAAGAACTTCTTTTCTTTTGATGAATTCAACGATATAATTCTCGTGACACAAAATCTACATTTTATTGGTCAAATTGATAGTTAAACTTGAGCCTTAGAATACATAGACACCACATAAACTGAGACGGACGAAGTAACAATGCACTGCTTTCCAACAAGTCCATCAGGTCCGTCAAGCAATAGTTGTCTCGACCAGAGATTGCCAGTTAATTAACCACAAAGAACGTGACAAGGCATCAAATTGTGGAGCTGCCAGTGTAGAGAGACCAAAAGCCATGTTGCCGACACTAGGTATATGCCTGCCTGAACTTTCATTAGTTAACCAAGGCAATGTTGTCTCCATTTCAACTCTCCTATAGATCTGTGCATGCATGGGACCTGCCGCTGCTGGACAGTATTAGTTTTCTTTGCCCGAGTTATTCCTCTTCAAGTTTCCTTCAAAGGTAGATGTAGCTAGCTAGCTAGCATCTCTGCTCAGTGTTAATTTACACAGTATATGTGGTACGGTTTCACTCATATTACTGTACTAGTGGGCAATGATATTTTGTAAACATAAATCTCCACTACCACATTATTTGCGCTACTGAAATTGAAAAACTTCCACATATATTTAATCACAGGTTGGGCGATTCAGAAAAGAGATTCCACATTTTCTGAATATTTTAGGACATGGCGAATACTATTTTGATAAAACAAGAAGAGCTTATACGGTACTCCCTCCGTTCCAAAATAAGTGTCTCATGTTTAGTACAACTTTGTACTAAAACAAAGTTGAGACACTTATTCTGACGAAGGGAGCACTTTTTTAGTCCAAGAACTTGTAAGTAGCAAACGCAACTAGCTAACTGATCCATAAAACACAAGTGTATACAATGCAAAGAAGCAATGTCTTCCCCAATTCAAATACCAGTTGCATAAGGCAGGATGGGCATTGATTTCTGCGAGGTGCCCATGATTTTCTGCGAGTCTCCCAACAAGAAAGGTTAGGCTAGAAGCCTAGAAGCTGCTAAGACATACTCTGCCCCATTGATTTCTGCAAGGTGCCCATGATTTTAGAAGCTAGAACCGGCTAAGACACTTCTGCTCATATTTACAGAATCGCAACCAGCAAAAAACAAAACCCCCGCATAACACGCATGCGGATACACTAATTATTTGTCAAGGTAATTCTCCATAAGCGATTACATTTTGCAACAGAAAGAGACAATATACTTGTTGAGAGAAGTTTGTAGCTGAAAACTCTGGAAACTAATTTCGGGAATTTATGATGAGCAGGAGCCAGCGGCAACTCTCATGTTGGTGATGTCCTTGGCTTGTTTACCCAAATGGCATTGGCACAATAGATCTAGCTCCAAATTCCACTGCATGATACTCAGTCTGCTACTGAAGCAGCTGGAGCTCGAGTTCAACACTGCGAATGAGTGGGACAGTTAGAATCTAACGGTGATAGCTGCATATATTAAGGTCAAAAGGCTGTAAGCTTAATATATATGTAGAACCCAAACTGTCGATTTTATTTTTAGAAAACATTATGAGATGTTCAGTTTGAGATAGAATCATTACTTCTATGCCCTAACAACGAACTAGTACCTAGTAAGGGATATATACATAATAAAGCTAGAGAAAAAGTAACATACATACTTGTACATCTCGATGATTAGACGAAGGTCGTTATTAGGATGTGTGCTGACTTCTCTCTTCAGGGAAGCAATTATAGCATCAGCAATGCCCCTGTCGCAAACAAACTCACATCTGAAAGTAGTGAGGCTCGACAGGTTTCTTATCCCAAAATCAATAGCACCAGGACAGCAGAGAGTCTCATTTTCAACACCACCGGAAAAATGAATTATCAGTTTTTCTAGCTTGGGCATACATCTTGCTGTAAACATGAGATCCATCCCATCTCCCAGCACCACGTAAGTAAACATCCTCAGGCTTCGGAACCCAGCTTCACTTGTGATTGCCAGCCTTCTGTCTTTACAAGAAGACCGATCTTCCATTCCTTGGAGACTCAGAGTAAGCAGAGAAGGTAAGGCTCCAAGGATGAAGATATCTTCCTGCCTGATTCTCTCCACTTCCAAGCTTAACTTCTGCAAGTTCATGAGTGATCCTATCCAATCCGGAACCTTTGGGAGGACCCAGGCCGAAGTCACAAGCTTTTGAAGGTTAAGTGGAGGAGAAGTGCACCATGTATTCAATAGGATGCTATCATGATCATTCCACATAGTTAGAGATGTAAGGTTTTGTGTGCATAGTTCATTGAGAGAATAAGCAATAATCTCCTTGTTCTGTTCTGCATCATTCATATGGCAAAGGTTCAGCTTCCTCAGATTCTTTAGCTGCCCAAGCTCCTGCAGAAAGTTACATGACTGGTCGGCGCTCACCCATTTCAATGTTTCCAGTGCTTGCATCTTTGCAATGCCATCAGGAAATCTAACAAGTCTGCTAACAAGTAGATGTGCCAGCTTTTTGAGATTGACAATACTTGCTGGTAAACTGGAGACCTCCGTGCGCCTAATGTCCAACAACTCTAAGCACCGTAGATGCCTGATTTGTTCTGGAAGATTGCGTACCCTTGTCCAGCTAATGTTGAGGTACCTTAGCTGAAAAAGACGGCCTACATCTGCAAGATGGTGGTTTTCCACTTGCCCGCATCTTCCAAAGTCCACAACGCGCAAATGCCTGAAATACTTCATTGGGGGGATTTTCACTGTATTCCCAAACACATTAAGTGACCGGACATGAGACAATATCACGCTCGTCGGCATTTCAGATATTCGTTCTCCTTCAACTTGCATGGAGAATCGGCGCACTCTACTTTCTGTCCCTATTGTTAAACTGGGGACACCAATGAAAGAAACAAAGTTCTCTTCAATGGACTTGGATATAATGAAATCAAGAATTGTATCATGAACTCGGCAATTAAACACCTTATCATATTTGTCCAGCTCCACTGGTTGGATTAAACTCCTATTAACGAGCTCATTAAAACACCTCTCTCCTAACTCATATGTTGTATATTTGCCATCTTTGTGAATAATTCCTTCTGCAATCCATTTCCATATAAGGGCTTTCTTCTCAATAACAGAATCTTCTGGAAATATACTTAGATAGAGGAGACATGTTTTAAGATGAGGAGGCAGATCAAAGTAACTAAGTGACAATATCTTGATCATTCGTTCGACACTAGGATTCCTTTCTAGTGCACGACCAATTGAATCTTTCACTTCGTTCCACAGATGCTTTGTTCTTTCTTTGTTGGCCAACAAACCAGATATAGCAATGATCGCCAAAGGCAATCCATCACATTTTTTCAATATTTGGTTAGAAATGGTTTCGAGTGATAGCGGGCAATCTTCTTCAGAGTTAAATAATCTTCTGTGAAATAGTTGTCTTGAGTGTGACATATTAAGAGGCTTTATACTGTAAATATGACCACCGATTGATGAACGACATGAATATGCGACATCACGCATACGAGTAGTGGTGATTATTATGCTACCACAACTGTTCATGGGGAATGCGCACTTAAGAACATCCCATGTTTTGATGTCCCATATGTCATCAATCACTATAAAATACCTGCACACGATTTTATGAGTGATATTAGTTATTTTGGAATCTTAAAATGACTTCTACAACAAAAGGAGAAAAAAGGGGAACTTATGAGTCCACATTAACAAGAGAGTGGTTTTTCTACACACCAGCTCGGTGCACCCACCGAAGAAAACATAGAAAAACATATCAAAAAGTTCAGAAATTTTGTGGGAATGATCATCAACAAATGTTATGGGTGTTTGCAAAGTTTGGTGGTCAAATAACATTCGAGAAGCTCTGTACAAAAAAGACAAAATCACTGAAAATTAGTCAAAATGTAAGTGCACTGTTTGAGCAGATTTTGTAATTTTTTCTTTTTTGTACGGAGCTCCTCGAATACTATTTGACCATCAAACTTTACAAGGACCCATAACATTTGTTGGTGATCATTCTCACAAAGTCTCAGAATTTTTTGAAATATTTTACTACGTTTTCTTGCGTGGGTGCACCGAAGGAGGGTGCAGCCACAAATTTCCACATTAAAAATGTATTTAAGATAAATGGGGGATCTCTATGCAAAACCAGGCCATAAAAGACCAATAGAGCTATATGTACACACTTAAATGGGTGCTTATTAAACAAAATAATGTTTTTTCTAGAGGTCATAAAAGAGCAATGCAGCTTTATGCATTTGGAGTAATACATATCTCGTGCTTTGCAGGCAATAAACTCGTTAATATATTTCATGTAACTCGTTAGGTACACCAAACACTATTACACTTTTGATTTCAAAACTATTACACTTTGATCCTTTCCTTGTAGTGTGGGTTCAATCCCTGCTTTATTTCATAGTTTTAAAAAGTGCTTTCAAAGGCGTCATTATAAAGATTAATTACAGAAGGAAATCGAGCAGATTTTACATAATCTTACAACGATTTATTTCAAAGGGGTCATTATGATACATAGAGCGGGCTACATCATAAAAAACTAGTTGGTTCGTACCCTAGTGATTAGCTAGGCGCATGTACCGAAGGGCTTGGGTTCACGTTCAAGGCAAGGCAATACTTTTTCGTAACTCCCCCCATACACCGGTACATTGGATTGTTTAAAAAATATTGCCAGTTTGCAAATAGATTAGTGCAAGTCAGTCGGAGCACGTGGCGGCCACATAGCTGGGTTTTTTTCTCTTCCGAATCGGTTTTGGTCTTGTTTGATCAGACTAACAACTTTATGGTCTAAATTGATCATTTTTCGAGTTGTTGGCCTAAAGCATGCAATCAGTTTGAGTTATGGGACTAGAGACCTATTTCACTCTATGCTAAATATATGCACTTACTGCTTTCACATGACTTCATTTTCCTCCATATGCAACAACCAAATTAATTAACTAGTTAAGGACATCGAAAGAAGTGTTCGCATATGTCTGACTATTAATTTTTATACTAGAAAGATAGAGTATAATTATGAAACTGTTTGATGAAAAAATTAGTTACTAGTATAATTTTTATTTCATAAATAGTAATAATTTTGTATGGATGCCAAGCGAATTAAACAAATAAAATAGTACCTTTTGTGAGCTAGGTAATCGTTAATCTTGCTGATTAGTTGTTGTATGCTCCCCAAGGTTTTGGTTACCGAATGAGGTAATTTTACCGAGGGGGACTGATAAATGTGGTTACCACGGTTACCGAGAAATACCGACAAATACCGAGAATATTTCGAGCGAATTTTATAGTTGAATTTTGAATTCAAATAAGAAAATGAACGAATATTCAAACCAGAGACCTCTCAAAACAGGAACTAGGTTGCTACCAACATGCCATAACCAACTTTCATTGCATTAATTAGACCCTACATACCTTACTGTAAATCGAGTGTTTAAATTCAAAAATTTCAAAAAAATGGTATTTTTTGCTCGGTATGACGATTTACCGAGGGGCACGGAAATACGTGGTAACCATGGGAAATCTTGAAATTTCGACTGGTAGCCAAAACCTTGATGCTCCCTGCTTCAGTGTGAGCATAAACTTGACAACTAAGTTCGCTGAGAATGATTCTCAAGATATTCATCATGTCTGGATTTCGTGATAGTGATACGAAAGCCTTACACTTGAATTTCTCTTTGATCTCTTGATATACTTGATTTGCAAGAGTTGTCTTGCCCATTCCTCCAGATCCGACAATGGATACCATCTTCAGTTGTTGTTCCGTTGATGCGCGTCCATCCTCTTCAGTCAATAGTTCCATTAGTTCAGACTTTGGTTCATCAATTCCGACGAGCTTTGATGCACGCTCAAAGATAGCTAAAGCTCTAGGGTCAACGACCTCAATTTTGTTGTTGGAGAAGTTGATGGTCTTGAGGACAGCCTGAGGAGTCTTGTACCTTTCATTCCGACTGCTCACCACAATGATTTGCCTCTTCAGATCTTGTATATCAAAGCCAATCTGGCGCCGATCCTTCGCCTTTCCCAATTTTCTGAGTGAGTTCTTGATTTTCTCTATGAAGCCATCTATCTTAGTGTTTTTATCGTCAACACATTGCATGAAGTCGTTGATGGAGTCCTCCATGTCATAGGATAGCTCCCGCACCGCTGTCATCCATACCTTATCTTGTTCATCAGGTTCCTCCTCCTCCGACATCTTGAGGAGAAACGCATGCATGGCAGTGAGCTCATCCGTGACAAACCTGATATCGCCTTGCACTTCCTTGAGATGCTTGTACTCATCACCCATCAAAGCGGCCAGCTTCCTCATAACGGGTTTCAGGGCGCCTGTCGCTGCACTCACTAGAGCTGCCTCCATGGTTGCGCCAAGAGCTCGCTAAGGCTATTAGTTTTGTGTGTATTGATGAGAAAGAAGTGTAGGCTGAATGAATGATCCCCCACTCCATCCATATAGTTTTTTGCTTCGTCATTCTAATTAAACAAAGAACCCACTTGTTTCTGCTTCGTCATTCTTGTTAAACAAGTAACCCACTTGCTTCCCAAGACTTATGACCATGTTCATCCTCACTATTAGCTAAGAGGTAAAATCCACGTTTGTTCCAATGATTTTTAAGTTAACTTAGATGCTAACTGCCCCACGCTCCTAGCTGAAAGACAAAATCCGTCTTTGTCTCAAAGATTGTTAATTTAACTTAGTGATTTACTGGCCCTATGCTCATTATTTTAAGCTAATTCAAGTCCCGCTCTAGCAAGTTAGCCCCAGTGATCAATAATTGCAAGCGTTGTCTTAGCTAGTGCTCACTATAGTTTTAGTTTTAACTGGCAAGGTGGCTTTCGCAAATGCGATGGCATCAAGCAATTATTTTTTCCTACTCCTATTATCCTTACATTGCATAATAGACAATATTAGTTATAGGCATCAATACATACTTGAAGGTGTAATATTGACCATTATTTTTTATATAAACCTATGATTATGATGCTAATATATCGCACAAAATAATATAATTTACAATAATATTGATAATACTTGTGGGCTGATACAAATTGAACGTTGTTTGAAAGACTGGCCATGTACTCACAAAGTAGCACTAGAGAAAGAGGTGTCTGAATATCTCATCATGAGTACAAAAGTTGCACTTCTTGCTTCCTTGCCAATTGCGGCGGTCAAGATCTTGTTTGGATAGCACAAATCCCTGTCAAAAATACCATATGAAAATGTTTACTTTGAGTGAAGTCTTCAACTTTCATATTTTTCATGTTATTAGCCAATGGGACCTCTGAATGCATAAGCGCACGATACAAGTAGTTCACCTTCTAGGTTGCATTTGTTGTCGCAGTAAGCCTCTTCGATTTGCTCCCTTGATTCGAATGAAGGCGTTGAAGAAACAATCTGGGCCATTGATTTCGAATCCAATGGCCCAGAAATCGACTGACCTCAACTAAAAAAGTTAGCTGACTGATTTCTAGCCATTCCCGAAATTTTATGCAGGCTATGTGCTGTATACGACACAAGTTTGTTTTAGATTCACTGGTCGGGTTAACGGCGCACGGTACTGATGGTCTTTTTTTTTTTGGTTCCCATTTTGTTTCTTCTCTTAGGGTTTTCTTTTTGGAGGGTACAACCGGCTGGTCAGAATTGTACGCATATGCACCAACCGGCTAGCCCCAGTAATATGCCTCTTTCCTTGCGTACACCGACTAGAAACCAATGTGCCATACAACTAACGGTGCACGCCAGAGTAGAAACCAAACATACTGCTGCGTGGCTAGCCTCATTAGGCAGAAAACTTCAACTGTCCAGGAACATGCCAGGCACAAAAAAATTCAGCCATGGATCTAGGGTGCAAACCAAACTAGCCCATCCTCTGGTTAATTGCGTCATTATGTTAGTAGGTTGTAATTAAATAACCAATACCAATACCAATTTACTGAATTCCAATGATCACCACGTTTCGTCCCATGTTGCTTCAAGAAAAAGTTCTCTCGACTAGAGAGAGTTAATAGCTAATCAAACTTGTATGCTAATTGACCTGGAAGAGGGGTTCATGCCTATCCTTGCCTTGCATCTATAATTAAGTTCAAAAAGTATTGAAATGTGCAGCCGCGCGTGTAGAGACCCCAATGCCATTTTGCCAACATGAGGTATACAGCGCAGTGCTACTACCTTTGATTAGTTAACCAAGGCAAAGGTTGTCACAATGTGTTTGTTTGTTTTGAGGTGGTTGTCACAATGTTCTTGTTTGTTTGGATATGCAGATCCTGCTTACTTCCAAGGCTGCAAGTTAGTATCATGCTTTGCTCTTGATATGGTAGAACAAATTGTGGAATTTATTGCGGAGTAAAATAAGATTGAGTACGTAAGCAATACAAATGATACCCTTGTTGTCGACAAATGGAAGAAGCCAAGTGTAGTTGCTTGGTTATTTCTTAGCTCTACATATGCATGCCAACTGAAGCTAGCTAGCCAGCTAGCTATCTGTTGGGTGTCGGCTTAGGTAGAACGTTAACATCCATATCTATAGAAAATTAAAACATATATGGGCAAGGCAGTGGCGACTATTGGTCGTATCAGGCGGAGTTTCCCTGGCAAAGTCTACACCTGCCCACTTGACCGTGGACATTGTCGTATCCTATGTAAAACTGACCCACCCACACGCTGTCATCGACTATATATACTTTCTGTCCTTCAATGATATCATGCCGAAGAATAAAATGATGTCTTCGGATGCTGCATTTCCATTTCCAACATCACCAAGATATATCACTGGACAATCCGAATGGCATTCCAGTGTGGTCAAAGGCAGAGAGCAATTACAATTCACGTGCTCACTAGCTTTCCCACAATGGCAGTGCGTGCATCTGAGCAACAATAAAGACAGAACTGTGCGAAACACGCAACCGTCCTCGTAGAAATAACAGCTAAAGGTAAATCTTTGTAATGCCTTTTGGATGCAGAAACGACTTGTAAGAGGAAACTTAGGAACATCTATTCCAGACTGCTACTGAACAAAAAGCGAAAAGTAGATCTTTGTAAGCGCGGACGGGTGCATGAATTACATTTTCCAACGAAAAAGGAGAAACTATACATTTTGCGAAAGTATGTAGCTAAAACCTCTGAAAATTAACCTGAGAACCGGATGAGGAGGAGCAGCAGCAACTCTCATATTGGTGATGCTCCTGGTTTTTGGCTTTGTCTACCTAAAAGGCATATACCGAGGAAACAACAGAAAACCCGGTTATGTATGTCCAGCACCTGTCGTGCAGTGCAGCAGCATCCCTTCAGCCCATTCAACAGGAGAGTGTTGTTATGTGTCCAAATGTGCCATCAAGAGAACGAGCTGGTAGCAAGTTTGATGCCCAAATCAGTCGGCGTCAACTTCATCCAGGAAACAGAGAGCGTCTCCATTCCAACAGCACCTAGATTTATCACTGAAAGAAGTAAAATAACAATCGGAGTGACATGCAAATGTGTACACAGAGAGAGCTCCATGACAGTTTGTTAGAGTTAAACTTCTTGTCGTGTCATTGAGTTGAACAAGTGCGTAAGTGTGAAGGATACAACTGTGTGGTGTGCCAAGTGCAGCGGCCTGCAACTTGCACACGTTTCTGTCCCGGTGAGTTGAAGCAGCTGGGTGCGACGGTTCAGTGTTTAAGTTCAATGTTGTATAGTTTCTGTCTCCTCTGTTTTCAGTTACTCTGCTTCTGCTTCTTCTCTGAAACTCTGAAGCGGGCATCACTGTTTGTGTGTGTCCACATAAAACAGAGGGCGTGAGAGGCCTACACAGTTCGCATGTTCATGACCTTTCACGCAATGGCCGTAGCCAATTTTAAAAAAGCAACAGTGCTTGCATCTCAGCAACAATAAGCACCCACTGCAGAACGATGAACGGACCCATCGATCTCCAAAACAACAACAAACTTTTGAGACTGCAGCCTGTAACACCCCCCGGTTTCCAATAATCGATTTTTCCATAAATCGTGCTTTCGGACTCTTTATCCATGTTTACTTGGTCCATCAATTCATAAATCCGACTCTTTAGTTGATTCAGGCTCGCCGAGATAGTCGAAATGCACTACCTATTTCCTCGAGTCGGACTCCGGGTTCATCTCCTATGATTTATTTCAATCCCACGGCTCATATTAGTAGGGAATTTCAAAATATTCTCTAATTCAGGAAATAGAAAAACTGAACCTTATCTCTTACCTCTCCCTCACAATGTGAGCTCTGCTTGTCCATAGGAGGCGTGCTCCACATCTTTCTTCTCTTCCCCAAGCCGAAGGGAAGAATCCCTTTCTCCTCTCTTCTCCAGCCAGCCTACTCCCTCCTCCCTTCCTTCCCCACTCCTCCCCAGGTGCCTCCTTGCTGCACCACGCCCTTCACCACCTCCATGGCTGCCCTTTGATTTAGGGCTTTGAGGAAGAAGGAAAGGAGACAAGAAGAGGGAGAACAAGAAAGCTTCCCCAACTTTTCCCTTCACCAAATCTTTGTGATTTGACCATAGAGGTGAGGTTCCCCGCCATTTATGATCTATCACCATCTATTAGTGATAGGGTTAGGACAAGAAACCTATGTGAAGGAATTGGGGAAAAAGTAGTTTATGCTGCTGTTTCTGGGCGTTCAGATCTGGAAACCAGCAATTTCGATTTCCTATATGGCAAAATTAGGTGGGGGTCATGTGGAATATTTTGTAGTTATTGTTACCACGATCGTTTTGAGTGGTCATTCACTCAATTTGGTTCAGCCGTTTAGCCGGGGCGATAAAAACAAGTTGCTGCTCTGTTTCTGCAAAACAGCATTTCTATAGTTTTTGCCCATAGCTTTTCAGGATCTTCGAGGGCTGATAAATTGATGCTATGCAATGGTATAGCTACATGATACATTTTAGTTCTTAGATCAATTTTATTTACTTACTCCCCATGAGTATTGGTCTTGCTATGGATTTCCAAATGAGGCTACTCATTATTCCTGAATCTGAGAACAACAGAGATGTTTTTGCTGGTTTTGACCCACATAACCTCATAATCTGAGGTTGAATAGTCGGAGTTATTTGTAGATGAGTTCCCCATGAATCCATAGCCATCTCGTTTGCATGTTTTAGAGCTTCCTAGCTTCAGCTATGACTTTTTCCGTGAAGGGACAGCAAAGGGTTGCTTCCCAGAATGCGATTAGGCGCGTTTTTGTGTGTGCTTTACATAGCTTGCTACAACACCAGCGGGCGGCGGCGGCTTCAACAACAACAACGGCCGTGGTCCTCCCTCACGTGGTCGCCCTCGCTGCCAGCTTTGCAAGAAGTCTGGCCACGAGGTTATCGACTGCTGGCATCGGTTTGACGAGGACTACGTGCCTGACGCCCG